CAGGGGGGTGGCTGGTGGCATTGGGGCCACAACGTGTTAGAGGAGCCGATGTGAAAATAACCTCTCTTCTTCTTGTCGGAGTAATGTTGGCCTGTATTCGCTCTCCTTGCTGTTTGCTTCCTAGCATAGGGCTCAGTGCTGCCAAGGGGTTGTCCATATGGATGGTTAAGGGGCTGCCGGGATCAGTAGGGAGCATTAATACTGGTAAGGGGCTGCCGGGATCGGTAGGGAGCACTAATACCGGTAAGGGGCCGCCGGGATCGGTAGGGAGGACTACTAACGGTAAAGGGACGCCACAACGTGTTAGAGGAGCCGATGTGAAAATAACCTCTCTTCTTCTTGTCGGAGTAATGTTGGCCTGTATTCGCTCTCCTTGCTGTTTGCTTCCTAGCATAGGGCTCAGTGCTGCCAAGGGGTTGTCCATACGGATGGTTAAGGGGCCGCCGGGATCGGTAGGGAGCACTAATACCGGTAAGGGGCTGCCGGGATCAGTAGGGAGCACTAATACCAGTAAGGAGCCGCTAGGATTGGTAGGGAGTATTAATACTGGTAAGGAGCCGCCAGGATAGATGGGGAGTATTAATACCAGTAAGGAGCCGCCGGGATCGGTAGGGAGTATTAATACCGGTAAGGAGCCGCCAGGATGAGTATTAATACCGGTAAGGAGCCGCCAGGATCAGTAGGGAGTATTAATACTGGTAAGGAGCTGCTGGGATCGGTAGGAAGTATTAATACCAGTAAGAAGCCGCTGGGATCGGTAAGGAGTATTAATACCGGTAAGGAGCCACCTGAATAGGTCCCTTCTGGTCCGTCATTTCCATAGCAAGATCCAGGTCGTAGCCTGGCCAGAGAGTCTTTGTTTGCCTTGTCAAAGGCCTGTGGTATCTTTTTAAAAGGCTTTTAAGTAATCGGGTTTGCTGTTAGAACGTTAGGAAACTTCCCGGGCGCCTGGGGGGAAATCCAGTTCCCAACCATGAGCAGCCAAGAACTCAATCCAGGCAAGCGGTGTTTAATTATTTCCCATCTTGGTGCCAGTTGATGTGTTGGACCCACATGCTTATATCAAGGGTGAATATAAATGGGCCACCTACCTGGCTGTGCAAGATTCGAGTTGCAGAAGAATTGGATGACTGTTCCCTGCTTTGTTAAATTTCTACCCTCACTCTGATTGGTTTTCCTCTTGTCTGCACACAGGTGTGTGTGTAAAGCTGTACTTTAGAAATGGTGTAGGATGAAGATGGTGCTACTCTTCCTTCGCTAAACAAATATGGTGACAACGTAACCATTAAGCTGTTTTCAGAATTTCCCCACTTTCTTTCTTAGAGAGAGACAAAATTTGGTACAAATGCATTCCTACAACATCTTCAGTTTAAGGGGATAGGTACCTTCTTACCCAAAGCATGCACTGATTCAAACTGTATGCGTGTAGTCAGTGTTGGCTGAGGACATGGCACTGTCAGTGCTATTGGAAGCCTTGAAAATGAAGGGCGATAACAAACCTGAAACTGCCAAGCCCCTGTTATTTTGCTACTTCCCCTTCTCTGTTTCTGGGGGAATTGACTGGTGGACATTTAAATTACAAAGAAAACAGCGGGGTTGAAAAGTGCTATGCACTTAAGTGATTTATGTACCTAATTTATGCCAATAACAGGGTTTGTTGCACTGGCATCAATAGGCAACAAATTGGGACAGGCATTAGTGAATTATGCCTTTATCTGATGTGCACCTAAGTGGAGTACAACAGAGCTCTAATCTTTTTTTCTTTGTGTTGTCATATAATTGGGTTAAATTATTTTTATCATTTATGTAGGATTGAAAAGTGAGAGAGGTGCTTTTTGGGCACGCAACAGCGTATTTTAGTTTTACAAGAAAAAACTGGACAATCTCTTGTCTTCAGCAGGTTTGGGGAATCTTTGCATTGGTTTCAGTTGACTTTGTGCCATGTCCTGAAAGGGCTGATTTAGGACTATGTGGGTGCATCCCCACGTTCATTAATGTGCCACAATTATGGATCTGTTAAGTTTAGTACCTGTAATAACTGGTACTATCTTAATGCACTGTAATGAGTGCTACTGCACATTAGTGCCACTTTTTATTCTGCCACTTAATGCGTGTTAGATGAAGTCTATTGCTTACTAGCATGCTTTTTGCACGACACGCTAATGCACAGTAGAATTAATCTAATGCACTTTTAGCATCTCGTGTAGACGTGGCTAGTGTTGCAGGTACAAGCACGGGTACTGCAATGAATAGTCCTGTTTATTTTAGTGTTAGTAATGAGGCTGTGGTAAGTGGTGAACAAGAATGAAGTGGCAGTGGGGAAAATTGTTTGGATCCCTTTACAAGTTAATGTCCTGATTTCTGGCATACATGTTGATAAACTTCATCAAATATCCACTAAGCTTGGAATTTTATTTCTATTTTGATGTAATGCCTAAAAAGTGAGATGGCGCGTCATAGATATTTGTGAAATCAGATTCCTGTCCCGAAGCACTACCTGAAGACAAGGCTAGACTTCAGACAAGAAGGATGCAGAAGTATTATTTCCTCCTTCTTGTACTTTCCATTTTAATTTGGTTGTTCCTGATTATGGTGTTCTTCGCTTGAGCCTGCATCTGTGGAGACTGTGTGTGGCTCCTTCTCTGATAGGAGTTCGTGTTCTTAACAGCAGCATTCCTTGGTGTAGTCAGACACGGTCTAGACATGCCTCCCCCTGATACAGATCAGGAAGTGTGTACGATGCTTTTGAAAATATAGGATGCTTCCTTGCCCTGAGAACTTATAGTCTACACATCTGATTTGTGCAGTAGTACATTCTACTGGTTTGGCTACGTTCGGCCCTTAATTATGAGCTCAATTTAATAAAGTAAAAGACTTTACATTCCTAGGCCTTAATTTAAAAAGTGTGGGTCCTTGAGAGAAACCAGTTCTCTTGTCTGCAGGTGAATACTGTAACAGTTGCAATCAGTGGAGGTGCTTAAGTTGGAGTTCTGCTAATTCAGAAGGCAGGTGCTGTTTAAGAGTATCTCTGGGAACTGTCCAGGGCCTTGGTCACAAATATCCTGCATCTGTTGATCTACAGGGCCTGTTACAAAGCCAGTTTACTTACCCATGTTTCTAGGGAGGAGGAAGCACAATGAAGCAATATATTGGCAGGATAAAGTATTTTTTAACTACTTGTTTAACACCAACAATTAAACATTTGTTAAGCTGCATTGAACTTTGGGCAGGCACTTTTAAAATTTTATGTCTAAATCGAAGTTGAGTTTAAAAGAAATCAGTAAAGGTAGATCTTGTTGGAGTAAGACATGGTCCTTACACCTCCTGCGTGTGTGTATCTGCACATCTAAAATGACAGCTGTCACTGATTTTCCAGGATAGTCCCAGATTTCATGGTTGTACCCTGCTGTCCTGCAGAACTGCCCAAAATGTGACTTTGGCCCTTGTGTGAAAAATTGGTGTCAGATCAGCATCAGACATTGTGCCAACTGGGGCCAGACTTCTCAAACTATACAGTTGCGTGGCCTCCGCAACTGAGTTAGTGGCCTTCCATTTCATTGCTACTAATTGCTGTCTGTGGACTAGTTCTAGATCTTGCTCCCTGAATGTTGATAGCTTTATACAGGACTGACACAAAAAGGTGGTATTTTCTTTCTTCCACTTCTAGTGAGCTGGAACGTCTGAGCAATCTGGTTGGCAAACCATCTGAGAACCATCCTCTTCATAATAGTGGATTGTTGAGCCTAGATCCCGTACAGGACAAAACTCCTCTCTACAGTCAACTGCTTCAGGCCTACAAATGGTCAAACAAGGTAAAAAGAATGTGTATTACAATGCTGAAATAATTACTTGATATCTAGCTAAGATTAGTGTTTGGCGTGCGGTGCACATAGCATTCGATTTGCCCTTTAGGCACATCTCTGTGTCCAGGCTGCAGAACTTGCCATAAAATTGTGGAGCAGAATTTAAGCTGTAATTTCCAGAATGTCAAGTCATGTTCTAATATTATCTTCTGTTTGTCTTCACATTTCTCCAACGGAGTCTTAACTGTGAAACACATTAATATCTTGAGTATTGTCTCTTTCACTGCACGTTATTTTAGTGCAGACATCCAACAAATAAATGCCTGTCTGCTCTCAGCCACAACATTTCCTACTGCATCTAAGGGCAGTGAAATGCAGAGGTAGGGTCAGGAGTTGAAGGACCCTCCAAACCTGCTTGCGAAAGAGAGAAGGGACGAGATGCATTGCCTTCCCCCGTTGTTAAAAACTTTAGCTGCTTCCCATGCCTTTCCATGTGTCATCATCATCCCCTGTCTTGTAGCTGAAACCATTTATTTCCTGTCTTTCTGATGATTTTCCCAGTATAGGCCTGCTTTATAAAAAAATCATTGGCACAGCCAGTATCTCTGGACTATATAAATTAAAGTGAATTCAGAGTAAACGCCACAAAGAATACTGTGCAGAGCATAACGTTAACTTTCATTTTTGAATTTGAGCTAATTTAACTGCAACTGCTATGGGAGTTTTGGTCTACTTTAGAACTCAATGTCAATTTAAAATATGATTATTCACCTGGCCCCCTTTCAATGCCCTTCAGGCCCCCTAGAAAAAAATGAATGGTTTCTGTGTAAAATTTAGTTATGATCAGAAGTTCAGTTTCCATAATCACTAACTCTCCTCCTTTAGTGTATTTAGAGACTTAAATTGAGCATATACTCTGCTCTGAGTACAGCCCATGCAGGTTGTAGTGGATTAAAACTTGTGTCTTTTCTGCAGTGAAAGGAAAGAAAAATTAAGCAACACAAGTTCACTCCTGACACCACAATACTTCAGCTTTGCTTCTGTCCTTTTGGATTTTTCAAGCTTATGCTGACAGGCAGCTTTGTTTGTTTGTTGCCTTGTTTGAAACAACCATGTTGAGCTAATGCAACTAGGAAATGAGTTAATTTACGACATGTTCTTTATTGCCAGCAAGAGGCTCTGCAGTTGGAACTTAATGACTGCTTATCATGTACAGGACAGGGCAGGGTCCTTCTCTTTCACATCACTGTACAGATTCTGTTGTACAAAACAGGAGTGAAAAATAGCAAAAATTATTCTGGTCAGTGACATAAGCAGATAGATGTTGCGATTGAAGAATATTTCCTGTGATGCATGAGCAAGACCATCTTTCAAACTCCAGAATGACTTTGGAAGTCCATCTTTATTTGAAAGCTGATCTGGCATTATTGAGATCCATACACAGAATCTCACAATGCCTTTATTACAGCCCTTTTTGAAACGGTACATGTCTGTTAACATTTTGGTGGCAACTGGTACTTAGCAGTAAGATACTTTATTTGGGGGAGGAACAGGAGGGCAGGGATTTTTTTTCAGTAGACACATGCTATACAGATCCAGCCGATTAGCAGCACTGCTCATTTTCACTTTGTTTCCTGCCATTAGTTTTAAATCAGATTCTAGGAAGGAAAACAATTTATATATGTATATATTGATATATATGTTGTTCTGGGAAAGTAGCATAGAAACTTTACACTTAGGCACAAATATTTCTGACTACATGCTTAGTTCTTTATGGATTTAGTTATTTCTTTAGAGAATGAAATCAATTTAATTACATGACTTGTAACAACACTTTAAAATATAAAATGTCACAAGAGCTACACAGAGCTGTTGTGCTGTTTTTTTTGTTGCAGTCTCTGCTCTGTTTGGAAAGCGTGAGGCTTCAGTATTCTCTGCATGTACAGAGCCATTTAATTCTAGGGGGAAAATAGTGTTTGTTTTTCTCCTCTGTTGCCTTTGCTACCTGACAAAGTGGAATAAGTCGATGAAGTTTGATTTAGGTAAATACAGGCTACACAGTGCATTGGTAAACTCCTTCCTTGGATTTCTAGTAATCAGCAGTGACTTCCTGCTGTGCTTTCAGCACTTGGCAGTGGTACAGAGATCACTTTAATGCAAACACCTGTGGGATGGCTTTTGCTGTCCTCTGGCTTTGGTAGTAGCAGTTTCCAGCGGCACTCCAGCAAGAGGCTGCTGCTAAACATGTTCTCTGAATAAATGTAATAAGCATTCCTTTCAGATTATATATTTTTTTGTTTGACTACCTCATCTCTCTACTATAGGTGCTCTCTGTTTTCTGCTGCTTGGAAGGAAATTGGGTAGCGGCAATGTGTCAATGCCCTTTTTGCCGGTCTGCATTTCATTTTTAATTTGTGACCCCTTTGTGGCTGGCTTGTATTTTTGATGAGCTGAGATTGCCGTGCCCCCCTGTCTGTGATTGCTCATGCATTACTGATTGTATGAATAGCCACCTGGCTCCTAGCGGATGATGTAGAGGGGATGGGAGGGGAGTGAGGTTGGCTAAAATAGGATTTCAGCTGACAGTTATGAAGGAAAAAAGAAAGCACTCATTTGAGGCTTCTGCTATTGCGTGGTTCCACACACACCTGGTTAACCATTAAACCATAGGACTTTAGATAGGACACTAACTGGTAGTGTAGAAAGGAGCAAGAAGAAGGGAGCTACCTTGGAATATAAAAATGATGTGAATATACTTCATCTTAAGATGTTTTAAGTAGCTTTGCAGCATGTTATAGTTTTGGTTGTATTTGAAAGTGCAGGTCCTACTGCTAAAGGGAGATTTATAAGTACTGCTTTTTTAAAATAACCTACTTACTTTCTGTGTTCAAATATTCATTCAAAGGTTTTGGTTACTCCTTAGATTAGCACTTTTGGCTCTCAACCTTTTCTAGACTCAAGGCATCCCTCGGAAAATGCCAGTTAGTTTTTGCTTGTGTTATGACTATGGGAAGTAATAGAGCAATTCTTCCGATGCAAGTAACTTGGACCGCAGCAGGCCAAAAGGTTTTTGACACCATGGATTCCTATTTGAAATTCCCAGGTTTGTCTTGTGAATCATGTTCAAGTGTTTGCACATCTAACTGTGCTAATGTTGAACAGCACCCTGTGGTACCATTAAAAGCATCTCACCGCACCCTAGGGTGCCATGGCACCTTGGTTGAGAATCACCGGTCCAAAGACACTTGTTAGAATTTTTTTCTATTAAGTATGTGCTGTAGTCCGCCAAGGTAGTTCAAGCCATAGGGAGCTTGTGAAATGAACCGCCTTAAAGCACAGTATTATATATATCTTTTTTTAATCAGTCTGTTTTTGCAGTTTATGAACATAAAGAAAATCATTTCTACCTCTACTGTTGTTTCTTTCCCCAGCAAAGTGTGTTCTTAAAATAGGAGACCTATGGCACTGCTGTGATTTCCAGTTTGGACCAGTGTTAGATTCTGGTTCTTGTGACTTGTGAGACTTTAAAATGGGCAGTGGTTCTTCAGATGAGTCATTCTATCTTGGTGTTGGGCCAAGATTTAATATATAGCAACTCTCGAAATTGGAATTTATGTAAATTTTGATTGCTGTGCATGCTGGACACCGGGGGTGAGCTATTTGAAGTGAAGTAGCAATACTATGATTAGAAGAAAGTCTTATTTTATAGACCTAATTAGAAAATTCTTTCTTGAGCATCTGCAGAGCAACACAGGAGATAAAGGACTCCCTTGACAATTTTAACCTTGCTTTATCCACCGAGTGTAAATGTGTGTGAGCTGTGATTAATGCATATTCTGTGGAGGACCACATTTCAAATGGCAATTACTGTCCTAAGGCTTTGGCCTAGGGCCATGCAGATAGATTATACTTAATAACTGTGGTTTCAGAGAGAGTTTTTTTCTCAAAAACTTACTTATGAACCGCAAAACCAGTTCTTTCTGGACTTAGATAACTAAGACTTGCCTGATTCAAGGATATGGTGGAGTGAAATCGCTAAAACTTTC